CTCTTTCCCACTGACATAGTATATATAAGTTTAATCACCTCAGCTGCATTGTTTATAGGAAAGATCTGACATTAATGATGATATTTTAGATAATGTGCTGTGATCCTAAAGTCCAAAGGTATATTTCTGACACATATAAATAATAACAGCATGGAAGAATAAATATATAATCCCAGTGACCATTTTGGATGTGCACTATTTTTTATGTAAAAATTCAGGTTTCCTTCCTAGTCACACAAATCATAGGCCCTAGTGTCATGCCTCATATATGAATCAAGTGCATACGGGGGCGAGGGGTTTGGTATTCTTATGTGCTCTCAGGCTGATGAAACTATCTGGGCTAACAGTATTCTTGGTAGTGCCCTGATGATCCTTGAAAAGAAGCTATGGCTGACGATGTGCAAGAGAACAGGGGAGGAGATAAAGTCCTTAGCAGATAGAAATATAAGTAATTCACACCAATAACTCTTAAGCAGTTATTTCCATCTTGCCTTACCTTGTCATGCTTCACGTTAAGCAACATCAGTCGAAGATTCTGAGGACTGGTGCCAGTGAAGTACACTTCGTAAGATTTGTTCAGGGCCACGATGCTGTGAAACAGGGACAGTCTCCTCTGGCAGGAGTATCCGGCACACCAACCATGATCCTGTGGGCCTAAATCCACAGGAAATGACATTCATGTTTCCTATGATGAATGTCATCAGTGCAACATGTGACAAGCAATTGCACTAAAAATAAATGGCAGTGATGAAGTTTGGCATTTACATCCTTTATCCATCCATCCATCCATCTATCTATCCAGAGATCGAAGCTATTTTTCACTCCTTGGCTTAAATAGGAAGGCAGGGAAGCAACTCCTCTCACTTACCATAATTTTACACTGCCCAAGTTAAGACAGGCAAACTAATGTATTGAGGATCTGTACTAGAAAGTCAATGAAGAAATACTAGATTTGCATGGTTCTCTACTTTAATAATCATATTTAAGCTCAGGCCACATAGTAAGGAAGAAAATGCTTCATCCTTTCTCCTACCTATCCAATGTGAGTTTGGGTGGGGAACCAACTTTCTCAGACTCCGCTGAGAAATATGCTGTAACAGAGTTAAGTTGTTAAAAATAGAGCCTGTACTGTACCTAGAAACAGGTATATTTCTATGTCTGAACCATTGATTCATTAACTCTTTCTTATACTCATATGTTCATCAGTTAATTTGTAAATTCAAAAAACTCTTAAGTATGTTTTTTATTCTTTGCCCTCCACTTTTATTTTAATACATTTTTGTTAAAGAGTGTGATTATAGGTAGTATTGGAAGGTCAACATCATTAATGAACTGAAGCAATCTGAGAAATGACACTCCAATAAACTCTCTAGAAAGCCAAAAGACAGTGGATGCTTCTCTACCTGAATCTAGACCTTTCTAGAACAGGTATGCCATGACTTTTGTAGCCAACTTCTCTATTTCACTTCAGAATTTACAGTGGCTAGGATAAACATTGAGTGAGGTATGGAATGATGAATTTTCTTCATGTATTTATTCATTAGCATTGCTCAATTTCCTGGCTTACTTGAACTTATCATAAATATTTATAACTGACTTCAATCAAATTTTAAATCAATATAAACTTCTGCAACTCAAGCAGAACATAAACTTTCCCTTAGCATCCAAAATATAAATCCTTCCTTTAAATAAACCTTCTTTGTGGGGTTTTAAACAAACAGAAAGAAATTTCTACATATAAAATGAAAAATTTAGAGTGACAAAAGCCACCTAGTCCAGTGTATCTCAAATTTCATTTCAGAAATGAAAACAAAACACATCATTTCAAGATTAAGTCTTCTAAGGATTCATGAAGATAAAAAATGAGTAGGCTGAGAATATTTGTTCTCAAGTATTCCAAATAATATATTATTGTTAGGGGCAGAAATAGAATAGTGGGGACTAGCTATAGTTGTAAGAAATATTAGTCATGCTCTGTTAACTAGGATTGTTCTGTTCTGATTAGAGAAAGCACATTCTAACCTGGCTGAGAGTTGTACACCCTGGGACATGGGAGTTAACCTTAGAATGAATGTAGTCCATTCTCCTTTTCTAAGAACTGCCTGTCATCATGGAAAGATTAAAGACCTTGTTGCTGAAACAATCTAGTCCTGGAGGCCCCTGCCCTTTGCAACCCTCACCCAGCCTGCAATGCCTGTAACCTGAAACCTTGCCCACTTTCCTAGACCTGTAATTCCTACTTCCCCGTGTAATCTTTGTCCTACCCAATATCAGCAGCTGGCTTATGGGGAGGGGTAGAGAAGATTTTCATGGATGACCTGCTGCTCTCCCATACTGCTGGCAGTATTAGAATAAACACTCATATATAATTCAACCTTGTCTCTGCTTAATTGGCTCAAGTAGTGACGGGCAGCCCAGACCCATTGGTTGTTCAGTTTCATTATCATTTTTTTTTAATTTATAAGAGGCAAATTGTCATTTTGGAGACACTCAGGCCAACTTTTTCTTAAAAATATTTATGTTATAAGTATGAAGATCACTCAACAAATAACTTCCCTCTCTTTCTTCTTCTAGTGCTCAATTTTGAATCACTGCTCTGGCTTTCTAATACGGGAAACTGCTGAAGAGTCAAGTATCTCTCTTATACATAGATCTTTCTTACAAATGGGAGGCACAGATGTTTGCTAGTTTTATGTGATAATAATTTATGAGATGTCTCTATGCATGCACTAAATAGTGAATGCTTTGTGTAATCCTAGCTTGTTGACATTGAACACTTACCATTAATGAGATCTACATAACCACTGGTCACTATAGCCACAGGTGAGAGTCTTCGAGTTTCTGTGTCAGAATCCAGGCTTTCAATGACCATCATTGCATATTCCAGCCCAAAGCACCGATAGCTCTGCCATTCTGGAATGTATCTACAGGTTGAATCTCTAATAATTCCTAGAAACATAGGTATATATGTTTTAGCAATGAAAAGAAATCTCTTTGCAAAAGCATCCACATACTATCTTTTCCTTGTTATATAACATTTCTAAGTAGAAAATACATTATTGGTTGAGTACATCAGCAATTAAAAAGAAAAGATAATATCTTGTTTCACAAGTTTGAGAACTAACAGAATATATCCAACAAACCTTTATAAGGTGCTTTCTCAGTGACAGGAATTCTACTTCCATTTGGGAATGTGAGCATAACCTTTGGAATTCTGTAGTCTCCAATTCCAAATTGGCTATTTCCATTCCATTCATATTCTGATTGAGGTATTACTGAACCAGAATTCCCCAGAAAGGAGCCATCCAAATCTCTGAGAAAAGATTTTCTTTTGGCATCACAAACCATGTCTACACAATCAGATGGATTCACCTTCCTGTGGAGAAAAGGTCAAATGTATGAATACTTAGTGTTCCTCCCTATTTTTAGGGAGCATTTGAGTATACTTGAGTATTTGATAAGAGAGCATCCAAAAAAATTTGATTGATTGAATCTTATCTTTTCAGACAGGATTTAAAGTAGGACCCAGTAGCATATGTACTGTGCATTGTAGTGATATCTGTTTTCCATTGTGTTGAGTTGGTCTATTATGAATTCATTAACATTTCAAAAGGACAAGTTATACCTGTGGGATATAAAATTAGAATTCCATTTTGTTGTTTCATATTTTCTTGAATAATAAATTTCATATTTGTCAATAGCTCATGATGTACTAACATTACTGTTCAGGACATAAAAAATTCCTGTGCTGGCCAAAACCGGTTTGGCTCAGTGGATAGAGCGTCGGCCTGCGGACTGAAGGGCCCCAGGTTCGATTCCGGTCAAGGGCATGTACCTGGGTTGCGGGCACATCCCTAGTGGGAGACGTGCCAGAGGCAGCTGATCGATGTTTCTCTCTCATCGATGTTTCTGGCTCTCTATCTCTCTCCCTTCCTCTCTGTAAAAAATCAATAAAATATATTTAAAAAAAAATTCCTGTGCTGGCAGGAAAATATTATTTTTTCCTTTCCTTCTCTTTTTTTAATGGGTCTTTAAATATTATAAAAGTATTATATGCTTACTATGAAATCATCTAGGTACTTGGTAAAAATTCAGTCCCCTTCACCTTCTTATCTTTATCTCTTAGAATCATCACAAACTGCAGATTTAGTATTTATTCTCATAGACTTTCGCCTATGAAAATGCAAACAGATGTACTTGAATTATGGTTTTTATGCTGCACATTTTAGTAAGCATTCTGTAGGCACCCAAACTGTAAGAGATGAAATACTAAGAACTCACAATGCAGTTCAACCACGGATGGTATTCTTCTTTCATCCTGGGCCACCTGGAGTGTGGATTGTTAATTGGTTATAATAAAAAAGCTGCTCAATTTGCAATGTACTATACATTGTTTTGTAAACAAGTCCGTGGGTAGCTGCCTAGTGGCACTCATACTGCAGCTTGGGGCCTCTGTCTGATTTCAGCTTCCAAAGGAACAGGCTGAGATGTGGACTTTTGTTCAAGTCAGTGATTGAGGGAATCCTCTCAAGGGGAAGGAGAGCAGCCACAGAGAAAAGCTGCGGGGCTATCATCAAAACAGATCAGATGAAGTCAAGCTATTTATGAAACATTGCATTTCTCTGAAGAGATGTCTGACAGCATTTGTCCTTGTCTTTTCCTTATACTGAAAACGGACAAAGATCTCTAATAGAAAATTTCTTACCTCCCCTGCTGCCTTACACCTAAATTCCTAGTCTGCAGCTCTTATGAACAGTAGCAGTTATTGACTATATTCTTTTAAGACTTAGAATGGAGGTGGTTCAGCTTCTACAAATATTCTGACACCACCTGACCTTTGCGACTGAAAAATCACTGTTCTGAGTTTCCACATGCTCTCAGTCACAGTGATTATAAGGACAGACATTTAATTTCCAACAAAATGTTGGAGTGCATCAGGTAAGACACTTGGAGAGCAACGGGAAACAAAAAAGTTAATGAAAATCAAAGAAATGTTAGAAATGTCACTCGTTCCAAATGGAGAGATACTTATGTACAGCACACTTCTAACTGCATTTCTGTCTCTTATGTTTAATGAGAGTGTTATTGACAATGCCTGGAGCCCTGGCCGGGTAGGTCAGTTGGTTAGAGCATCATCCCAATACACCAAGGTTGTGGGTTTAATCTCTGACTAGGGCACATACAAGCAGCAACCAATGAATGCATAAAATAAGTGGAACAACAAATTGATGTTCTCTCTCTCTCCCCGTTTTCTCTCTCTCTAAAAAATTAATGAAATAAATATAATGCATGGAAAAAACAGTATAAGAGAATATACATATATTCAACTGAATTGAAAACACTGATGCATTAGTCTTAATTTTCATAATGCTGATAAAAAAAAACCACAGTTATTTTAACATAGCAACTTTCCCAGCTCTATGGCAGGGGAAAGGCAATGGAGACCTATGAAGAGAGGAAGAAAACTGGGTTTTCATATATTTTACCTTATATCAGGCCTATGTATAAATATTTTTGCTTTTTCAACAGTGTCAACCAGCTGTATGTTCTTCACATGGATTGGATGCTGTAAATCCTCATTTAAAGGGTTAGTCATGAATATCACATTAGTTTCACCCGAACAAACATTCTTGAATCCAACAAATGTTGAACCTGAAATGTACATAATAGAAAAATAATTACTTTCTATAGAGGAAGTGGTACAGTTGCATTTCATATACATTCCAGCAAACACATAATTTAATACTACCTTGAACATGAAGTCTTTCCTTACGTGGAAGATGAATCCACCACCATATGTGGTAGATGGTTGTCTCCCTATATCAACACCACTGAGTAGACATTTCCATATTTCTCTGCGCTTGGCCATGTAACTTGTTTTGGCCAATGGGACAAGGGCCATTGTGGTACTAGCAGATCTAAAAAGTGCTTGCATGTTAGGGCTCACTCTCCTGGTGCTCTAGGGAACTCTGTGAGTTTTAGCATGTTAATAAGCCTAGCTCAATCAGCCCCATTACTCCATTCTTGAAATGGACTCTGATTTATTTTCTTGTCATATTGAGCAGATTCATATACACATTCATTTAAATCATTTTTTTAACTAACAATTAAACATTATTAGTTATACTCTATGTACTCTTTATAGCACTTACTTGAGATGTGTCAAGGACTATGTTTAAACTTGCCTGAAACTTCCAAAAGGCCACTGATGGCGTTGTAACTCATGATCCCCGCGTGAGGCTTCCGGGGTGCCATGTTATGTGCTGAAGCAAAGGTGGGCCAACAAATCCCGCTTCTCCCTCCTTTCATAAAAAGAAGGCAGTTGATGAAATTTGAAAGTGCACTCATATGAACACCAAAATTAAAATTCCTAATTTTCTACCTGGTGGAGGTCTAGAACTCCGATGGGCAGCAGAAAGTTCAATATTGGGATCATCATTTGTTAGGAGATCAGAGCAATTGAATTCAGGGCTACTTCCAACAATTAATGAGCTCTGTGAAAAAATTCAAACAATACAGCTTTAATGATAGCTACTGCTAAGAGAAAACACAATAATTGGTAATACTGAATTGCACTGTTGCAAAATACAATCTATATGTTTCAGAAATGGATCATACAGAAATGGATCATTAAACCCAGATGAAAAAGGTGTGATTTCTTCCCAGAGTGGGATGACTCAAAGTGGCAAAGGGAAGATGGATATGTAGACAATTATATATAATGACATGTTCTGTTTCTAGATATACATTATGTCCAGGACACAATAGGAACAAGAAGAGGAGGGAGTGACTTAAGCTACCTAAGCTGCTTCAGGAAAAAATTCATAGAAGGAATGAAAATGTAACTAACTGGGGCAAAGTTAGCAGGTGATAATCAAGAAGAGGTGAGGGGCCCTGGCCGGTTTGGCTCAGTGAATAGAGCGTGGGCCTGTGGACTGAAGGGTCTCGGGTTCAATTCCAGTCAAGGGCACATACCTCGGTTGCAGGCTCCTACCCCCACCACCTGGGGGCGCATGCAGGAGGCAACCAATCAATGTGTTTCTCTTGATATTAGAAATTGATATTTCTGTCTTTCCCTCTCTCTAAAAATCAATGGAAAAATATCTTCAGGTGAGGATAAAAAAAAAAAAGAAGAAGAGGTGAAGGAACTGGGGAGCAAAGGGAAGTATGGAAAGCTTCCTAGGAGAAGTCAATGAGAGCAAAGGTGGGAGGTTTGGGCTAGCTGGGGTAGAAGTCAAGGAGGTTACTTATATTAATCCTCCAATAAGTTCACTCTTCTCATGTGGCTGTATTCATGTCTTACCTTAATTTGCACTGTTTTATTGGAAATTTGGTGAGATATGGCAGCTGGCATATAAATCATTGAAGAAATGGCCATTCCATTATCAACCAGGGTCACATTATGGATATACACGCTCTCTGTGGTCTGTAATACAATTTGTAGTTTACATAGTACAAAACACAATCATAAAAGAAAACAAACAGTCATGATCTTCTATCAACTTACCTGAAAATAAATTCCATAATCCCAGCACATCCAAATGGTAAATCCCCGTATGAGAGAACACCCAGGAAGGCCGTCCTGGTTCATGTAGATGCCATATAAACCCCCATGGGCCTCATTGTCAGACCACTTGTCCAGGCGGTTAGACAGACCTTGGATGGAAACACAAAATGAGATCATTAAGATTATAAATCATGTCATATAGTTTTGTAAGCAGTGTCAAAGCTCAAATTCTTTTAAAAAATTCAATATAGAATTTTGACGTAAATTTTAACAAGATGAACAAATATTTTCATGGTTCAGTCATTTATGATTTACTCTACTTGGTGTTTATTCTCATCTAAATTGTCCCGTTACTGTTATTTAGAATAATTGTATGCTCATTTGCAAAAGTTTGGTTTAGTGTTAGCACCCTTAACTTATTGTATCTGATAAAACTGAACACGAATTTCATTAGAAAGAGCATGCAATTGGGTTGAAATAAGGCTGAACTTGAAACACAATGGCACCACTGCTGTCTGTAAAACGCTTCCCCTGCAGACCTTTGTATTGGTCATCCCATTTTCAAGTTAAATATTACTTCTTTAGGCAGCTTTTTCTGACCACCTGATCCAAAGTAGCACCGCAGTCACTTTGCATAGCAATTAGAACTTTTCTTCACTTGATATTATGACTTATTTGACTTTATTATGACATCCATCTTGTCTCTTCCTATAATATAAGCTTCATGACAGAAGCTCACTGCCGCCATATTCCTGGAGCTTAGAGGGTAATGCAGAGGTAGCTATTCATTAAATATTTGTTGAATTAATCTATTCATGATGTTTGCAAAGTTATTCAACTTCGTTGGACTTTGGTTTCCTTATATATATATATAAAAAAATCAAGCATCTGTCAGGGTTGTTTCAAAATGAAATGAAAAAGCCTCAATAAATGGACACTATATTCATAATTAATATGCAGGATAATTGATGTAGATTTTAATGAAAATTTTATGTACCTCCAAATCAGATCAGTAACCTCAATAACCTTCCTCACCATGAATAAATTTGCAGATTTCCTCTAAAGAGCAGAGCCACCCCTAAATTATACTTAGTCCCCGAGGATCTGACTTCATCTTATCTTCTATTGCTTTTCCATTTTTCCTAGTCCTTTGAGATGGACATTCTGAGGATGGTTTCCCAGGGTTCAATTTTGTTTTCCTCATAAGAAGCTGTCTGCATGTGCCTTTGTTGTTTCCACACAAGGTAACTCGTGGGCAAGCAGGGTTTCTCCCTTCCCAGCATCCTAGCTGCTCACTGTCTGGGAGATGAATTTGATAGGTTGATGTCCCATTCCAGGAACTTAAACTCTGAATTTCTCTGTGATGTTTCATGTTTCAATGCTTGAAACCTAAAAACTCCTATAGACACTCTCAATTATTTAGGAATATCAATATAGTCAGTAAAAAATTCATGACATGATTTCACATATTAGTATATATTCATATTCACAGGTCATGTTTTGATTTTCAAAAAACCGCACAACACTTCAAAGAAGTTATAGAGAAATTGCATATATTTACTTTTTAAGTCAAAGAAAAGCTACTTAAAGCTATTGGGAACTAAAATATTTAATAAGAGCATATATCAAAAAATAAGTTAAGTAGGTTTATCCCTTCAAAAGGTATCTTGCACAAGAATAAAATTAGCATAAGCCCAATAAGTTTTGAATTTATACAAAAAATGCTGATTTAAAGAATATTGAAAATAACTATGCTTAGAAAAAACTGTAGAAGGAATATAAATTTTTCAGTGGAAAAATCCCATTACCTTTAACTAAGTAAGTTTCTTAGGAGACAAAGCCTTAAGTTCTATTATTTCTTTCACTTTTTGGATCTGATCATTCTTTTACTTAGTTGAAAAATCAAGAGGTTGTAAATAGTTAGACAATAATAAGTCACCAGTGATCATGTTCCCACTCAATTTCTATGTCTCTGTTTTTACACTTTGTGTTTCTTTATGTAACCACACATAACACATATGTTCTTATTTTCTTCCCTTTTCCCCACAAAACATACACACAAAACAGTATCATGTATACCGTTCTGAAATTTTCTTTTTATCACTTTAGAATCCCCATATCAATATGTGGTATGTATCTTTTTTGTTCTTTGAGAGGGGCCTGGTGTTCAATGTTGGGCTTCGTTTAAGAGCCCACGGTTATTGGACACAGGTAGCTTTCAGGTTTCTGCTAGTACACAAAACGCTGTGATGAATAGCCTTGTTTACAAATGCTTTTTCTTACAGAGGCAACTGTTAGTTATATTACCAGAGCAGAAGCGCTGAACAAGGGTAAATGCCTTTATCACTGTGGTAGCTATTGCCAGATTCCCTCTGTGGGTTACATAGTTTTGTCCTTCAAGCAGCAATGTGTAAATTCCTGTTTCC